TCAACTGTGGGACGGCATTTGTCATTATGTTTTGATATAATAACGTTACGTAATGTAAAAAATACATCTCGCGAAAATGTCAACAGTTTCGCGAAATGTTAATTGTAATGTGTAACATTGCCGGCGCAGGTGTGGGCCAAATCCGGCCCGCCACTTCATTGTATGTGGCCCACAAGAGCTTGCAAAGAATATAATACGTTTATTATAAGGTTACGTGCTGCTTTACAGGAGCACGTTGCCCATAAACTACATATCCCACAATGCATCTCATTTTGTGAGATGCGCACTGAAGAGACTTGCCATTAATTGCAATAATTTTCCCTAGACTTCTGCTTTCAGACGTAGTTAATTATGAAGTTATTACCCTATCTGATAATAATCCAATGCAGAGGCAATATTGTTAAATAATACATTATTCTATATATATTATATTTATCTATGTATATTTATATAGTCTTAAAGTTACCACCGGCCCTTTGAGTGCAACCATGTTGTGGTGTTTGTTTTCTTGTATCTGAACATCAAACAATCTACCGGTAATCCCCAGTTTTCAAAGATCTTGCCAAGCCTGCAGTTGAAAAATAGCCGGCTCACTGACACTTGCCCTATTACAGAAATGTTGATTGATGTCCTTTAAATAAATACATAAAATAACTGATATTTCACATGCATGAAATGACAATGTAAAAGACGTGTCTTGTTATGATCCGACTTGGTATTACCAGCTTTATCTGCAGCTTCCTCTGGCTTTACGGGGCTTCATCGTGAGTCTCAGCTCATAGTTTATCTATCTGGTCAGTTAACTCTCTTTGCTCTCCCTCACTGCTCTCACTGTGTTGTTTCTGGCTGCTGTTATCAGCCCACCAAGTTCTGTATTCTACCTGCTAGACTGCAAGATGGAGGCTAGTCCAACCTAGTGGAGCATTTTGCAGGTAAACCCCAAGAAAGTTGTTCTTCTCAGTAGAGTAGAGAACAAAAACAGAGATGATAAAGATTAGGGATGTCCCGATCACCTTTTTTTGCTCCCGATCCGATTCCGATCATTTGATTTTGACAATCTGCCGATACCAATTTTTCCCGATCCGATCTTTATGCAATGCATTAAGAGAAAAAAAAGGTAACAGATAACGGCTGGTCATCCAACGCGATTAATTCAGCTATCTTGGCTGTTATTTTTTGGGCCTTTTCACTGTTCTGGGGCAGTTTCTCTTTCCTTTTAAAAGTCTCTGAAAGTGTCTTTGCAGTTACCTGAGTGGCCGCTGTGTACTCGTCGTGTTGTTGTTGGTGTTTGTTTCTCAGGTGGCGTATTAGATTGGTCGTGTTGAACGTAGCTCTGTTCTTTCCACCACTCATCTGGCTGTTTCACTGCCTTCGCTTTCAATTTTATAATACTTCCAAACTCCTGACATTTTCTCAGTCCCGCTCCCGAGTCACCAGCTGAACGTAGCCTCTTGTTGAACTCGCCGACGCAACAGCGTCCTGCGTCTTGGCCATGTGTCGCACTGGAACACACCGCAAAGACTTCAGCCGAGCACGTACGAACTGAACTGCGCATGCGTGAGTGGCAATAACTCTCCTTACCAGCAGGCGGCGGTAGTGTGTATTCGTCATTCAAAACAGGCAACAACCGGAAGACAGAGAAGAAGAACAGACTACGTGATATGAAAAAAACAACAAATAGCGTGTGCGTTCCATTTTCACTCTCGTCCATCGAAAACATGTTTCGTGCGGTACTGGAGCTATCAGCCATTGGAGTGTTGCTTGTGGAAGACATTCTCAAGCAACCGTTTCACTTCTCATGCACTGATTCGCTAGCTGAACAGCCAATCAGAGTGATATCTTTGTCCGACTGCCTGTGGCTGACGCACGGCCGATTCAACATGTTGAATCGGCGTGCGTCAGGCCAAATAGGTTGTCACGGTGCGGGAACCACAAATGAAGTTGGGTGGGCGGACAGGCAGCGTCGTGCGTCGTGCCGGACTTACGGACGGGGAACGGCCGCAGTTTCGGCGCTGGTGTTCCGGCGGGGTGCTGGCCCTGGAACCCGCGGCGAGCGATCTGTCGCGCGCGTGCGGATAGGCGACTGTGCATCGGGGCCGCGCGGGGAGCGCGTGTCGCCAGACTCGAGCGGTGCTGTGTCCGGACCGCTCGTTGTTTTTGCGCGGCCGTGCCGACACGTGTTGCGCGCGCGCGCCCGAGAGGGACGCCGGACGGGGAGATTGACACTCACGTCGCCGAAGGGCTGCTTGTCAAATAATCCACTCTGATTGGCTGTCTCAGCGTAGCGCCCCGCGTGGGCGCGGGCTGGTGCGACTCAGCCTCTCCGCGGGGCGCACGAGAGGGCTAAGCGGAACGGAGGCACCCCGCAAAGCAAAGCTATAGGAAGCACACACAGCTGACGGCTTTCGCCTCGTTCATTTTCATCTCAGCCTGGACGCAAAGCTTTCTCTTTTCCACCATCATGAGCGATCTGGAATGAGAAACCGAAGACCGAACCGCGCTATTGATTGTTCGTACGTATATCACGACCGAGTCTGTCTTCCGGGTTTGTGGCCTCTTTGAATGGACGCATACGACGCACGTACGCGCCGGCCTGCCTGGTAGGAGGAGGGGAGTGATTGCCACTCACGCCCCATTGCGCAGTTGTACGTTGCTCTTGGCGTCGGCGATAGTCTTTGCGGTTGTGTTCCCAGTGGGACTGTTTGCGCCGGACGCAGAGACGTGCAGGAGACACACAGTCGGGTCCGTCGCGACGTGTTCTCTGAACGGTCAGTTTTGGTGTGTCGGGCCCTTTAAGGTCTAGCTTAAGCATATGCATTTCAAGAAATCCAACCAAAAACTCTCATTTGCAACGCTTGACAGTCTTTGTTAACGATAGGGAGAAACATAAGCTCTGTTTTTGAGCAGTGGTTGTCCCTTTTTATAAGCGAATGTTTGATCTACTTAAATTTAGAATAGTGGTGCCGTTAGTGCTTAGAAAAGCGATCAAAACAGCGCTCTGTTTATTGATTGCGAAAACAAAAAGCCATTCCTTATTTATGTACAAAACCTTCTGGATGGACAGAAGTCAATGGTTCTCGCGTATTATATGCAGGAAAATAAGAACAACAGGAGGCTAGTTATGGATGTTAAGATGGTCAGTACAGCGGCTCTCTCGTGTGTTTGCTTTCAAGTACCTCGTTCCAATATTGCTATCTCTTGCTCTCGAGTCGCTACTGCCCAGTTCTTCCGTCATAGGGACACATAAAGAGGGGACACAGTTGGTCATAGGACGAGGTAATAACTCCAGAATCCGTATGCACTTAAAGGAGGCCGAGCCCTGAGCGCTACCAAGGGAACGCACACATTATATTTTTAATTCCCTCGCATAAAGAGATCAAAGTGTAGATGTTCATTAACAAATACATGTTCCAGGCCTGTTGGGCTTACTTGAGAATTTCTACAGAAGAGGAACACAAAAAATATACATTTTTCTTCTATTGTTGAAAAGTATCACTTTTTCAGAGCGCTGTACAAATGGCAAACATCCTTAGCAGGAGAGTGTTTTTTCCTAAGTTGACCTAACCTTGCCCTCGGGGGAAAACTGGAATCTTTTTCGTTAGACATTGCTTGTATCTTCTCTGGTGTTGAGGGAGCGGGTGTGTTTCCCATACTGTGATGGATAAGTTGTTCTGTAAAATGAACGGCTTGGACGGTGGAGAGACACGTGATATGTGAAATGTTGAGCATGTTTTTTTAAAGTAAAATGAAGAACAAAGCTTTGCCTTCAC